TTTCGGAATGTACAATTTAGCGTTTAGTTGGGTTTAAATAATATAGCGTCAAATCAATTACCTACTCTATCGCTTGTATATTAATATACAATACACTTTAATGATACAATAAATAAATAAACTCACACATACACACATATGCATTTATAACATTGTGTCTAATGTAAGTATAACATGATAAAAAGTAACCGTAAAATGAAAAAAATGGAATATAAATTTTAGTACTCATATTAAATGTAATGTAACTCGAAAAATATTTGTTTAAATGAAAAAATATAAGATTATATTTTTATTTATAATTGTCTTTTAAACAACTTTTGTGCGAAACTTTTTTTTGTAAGTTAAATATTTTTTTTTGAGAAAATTAAGAAAGCCTCATATTTTGGACTTTTGCGACGCTGTAAAAAAAAAGCTCAATTCCAATCTTGAGGACTATTAGTATGTCATTATACATATTTTAATTCAACTTTTAAAAAAACAAAATTTTTTCCGCAATTTTTCCTTTGTTGACTGGCCTAGATGTCAATTTTAAACTTGTAATTGAGCTAAAAGTTATGGTAATATATTCAATTTATTTTACTATAAACTTTCATAAATCTTTATCAAAAATTTTTCATCAACTTTAAAGAACCAAAAAAATAGGTTAAAATTGAAAATTTGGACTGATTATTTTTAACATATTAAAAATCAAATCAGTAATAATTTGAAAACAAATTTTTTTTTCTTTTAATTATTATTTTATATATATAATTAGTAATAATATAAAAAATTAGAAGTGATAGAAATAGTCTACTTGCAGATTTGAAAACAACGCGAAAAGTTGATTTAGAAAAGTATATTTTTGCTTCTGATGAAAGTTCCTTGTAGTCCAGTGCATTTTTTTATAGTAACAAACAGTTTTTATTGAAAATTATTGTATCAAGCCCTTTAAATTTTTATACACGTAAAAGTAAAGCAAAATATAACTTCTTTATTATTTTTATAATTTCTCCGTTTAAATTACAATATTAAATATCAATTTCATACTAAATTTAATAATTATAATTAGTATATATTCAAATATTATATTTTAAAATCAAAGAACTACTAATCATGATATAATTAAAGAAATAAGAGTTGATGTTGCTTTTGGAATAATCCACCAATTGCCTAATTAAAACAAAAAAAAAAAAAGTTTGTTGGGAATTTTTTCTGCTATTCTGCAAAATTACTCCTTCGTTGACTAGAATGAATCATTAAATAGAAAATTTTATGAGAATTAAAACAATGTTATTTTTAAGATTAATATGCAGTCAGAAAGTTTTATAATTATTATTTATTGTAAATTTATCAGAAAAACTCATTATTTTTTGCATTTTTATCGTAATAGAACACTTAAATAGAAATCATAGTAATCATTTCTAAGTAATTTTTGATATTTAAAAAGATTCTACTATTGAAATATCCAGAACTGAATTAATTTTAATGATTTACTTTAACTAAAAAAAAAAAAGTTAATATTTTGAATCCCTCTTGTGGGCAGGTAAAGGGTTAGATTTATAAAAAAAACCAAATGATAGATAAAGACATGCATCTAAATAAAAAAAAATATACTGATTTGGTCATTTTTGATAAAGTTATAACAATTAACAAAGTTATAAGTTTTATACACTGGACTACAAGGAACTTCCATCAGAAACAAAAATATACTATTCTAAATCAACTTTTCGCGATGTTTTAAAATGTGCAATTAGACTTTTTCTATAACTTCTAAGTTTTAATATTATTAAAAAATAGTTTTTACATATAAAAAAAAATAATTAAGAACAAAAAAAATTGTTTTAAATTAATACTGATTTGATATAATATTTAATATTAATTTGATTATTAATAAGTTAAAAATAAGGAAAATGACATATTTAACCTATTTTGTTAATCGTTTAAAGTTGATTGTTGTAAATGTTTATAATAAAAAAAAAAATTTATTTTACCATAACTTTTAGCTCAATTGGTAAGTTTGACATTGACATAATTAAATAGAAAATTTTATGACAATTAAAAAAATTGTATCGTTAAGATCAATATGCAGTCAGAAAGTTTTATAATTACTATTTATTGTAAATTTATCAGAAAAGCTCAATATTTTTTTGCATTTTTATGGTAATAGATAACTTAAATAGAAGTAATAGTAATAATTTCCTAGGAACTTTTGTTGTTTGTTGAAAAGATTCTATAATTGAAATATTGAGAACTTAATTAATTTTAATGATTTACTTTAACTAAATGTACCAATCAAAACAAAGTTGTTAAAAAGATTTACTCAATTGAGTGTATTATAAAATTTGATTATATTTGTAAAAATCAATTGTTAATTCAGGAGAAAAAACAATCATTTTCTTTAAAAATTATTTATATAGCAACATGTTACAAAAAAAAATTGTAATATTATAGTCTAGTAGTAGCACACAAATATAGTAAAAAAATTATTAAATTACAAAGTAAAATGACTTAATTTTGTAGTTGAAACCTATCATATCAAACTTCATTCGTTAATAAATATTTTGAAAACATTAGAAATTAATGATTTTAATTGTCTTTATGGAGACGATGTAATAACTAACTGTTTAATTGATAAATTAGAATTTTTTTTTCAATTTTTGAGAGTAATATCTTCAACTAGATACGAATTGTAGTCATTGGACGTATCGTTGAAAAAAGTAGGTCAAGTTAGAGCAGAGAAAATAAATGATATTCACAAAAAAACATCTTCTCGGCTTTGCATCGAAGCTAAAACTTAAAATATAGTAAAATAATTTTAATACGAATAAGAAATTTCTTCTTGCAAGGGGCGACTTAAGTGATGGCATCATCTATGCTATATTAATTTTAATTTATATAATATTTATGAAAATCTGTACTCTTCTAGTCAGGTATTTTAAAATAAAATTGTGGGAAATATTATTTATTACAACAGTAAATTTACAGTATAACAAATAATAATTTAAACTGATTAACTATAAACAAT